AGCATTTTTTAATCTTTTAAATACTCTGGCATATCCAAGGAAATGCTAAGCCGAATTGTTTAGATAAATTTTTGCTTTTGAATGGTTGGGATATGGGCTGTAGATATTTGTTTATTTATTTGTTTAAAGGAGTGACTGTGCTTCATTCTTCTAACATTTTTTCTTAGAGCGGCAGGTAATTTAGCAGTCCGTTCCCCCTTTTGATGTTTATCGATGTGTTTATGGTTGCATAATGCAAACCTTCTGCATTATTACTCTCGTGTAAATTTGTATTGTTGTTTTGTCAGGATTCACCAAGTCTTTCAGTTTTTCATCAAGCGATTCTATCACCAATGATAAAGCCAATGCCATTGATCTCTGCTGCCACGTCTTTAATATCATATTCTCGAGACACTGTATGGTTTTTATTTCTTACTTGCTATTGCTTCCATCGTTAGGTTTTCTCCTATCTTCTTATAGCCTTTATGTCTCATATGGATGAAATATTTTTTTTTTCCTCTTTTGTGTATTTGTCACAAAGATTTTATTTCCACTTCGGCAACATGAATTTAATTTAACGGTATGTTGGTTAAACATGCTATCCTTTCATTCTCATTAATATCTTGATAATTTTGATGTCTTGAGATAGTTGCCTTTTGTAACATTTCTTCCAGTTCTGTTTGCTTCATGGAATCTTGTGGCATGAAAATCTTTGCATAAGTTTGTCCCGTGAAGATTGGTCTACTGATGACCTAGTTAAGTTTCATTGTTTTTACCTCTGGTGTTCTGTTGTTTCTTTCAGAATATACAAGTAGGTGCTGCAAGGTTGCTATCACTGTTATTTATTGCAGATTTATCGCAATCTAATGCGAGTCTCAGTTTGGATGACAAGGAGGTCTGGTGGTTTGCTGATTTTTTTCACCAATTTTAAGCTGGGAAATTCTATGGTTGGACTCCTAATTCAATATATTTCATGTTGTAGATTGCCAATTTTAGAAATGCTGTTTGTACCATTCTATCGAAGCAGACTCCTGGGGCCGAGGATCTTATTGTTTCTACTTTCAACCTCCTAACTTCTGCTGCACAGAATCAGGTTAGTTGATAATATAACCCTTGATGAGGTCGAATTGCTTGTCATCATTTTGGTATGTAAAAATTAATGCAAGAAATGGTTATTATCTGTATTTTCATATTCAACAAGTCAAATGAGTCTTACAATTTTCTAAATATATTCCTCGTAGTTGTTTATTGCTTGTATTTATTATAGATCTGCAAAACAATTTTCAAGCTTCATGTTGTTACGCAGTATGCGTAAAGAACCTAGTGTATCTCGTAACTGACTCAGAACTATCTTTGTGATGTAGTTGTACAATTTGACTTTCTAACTTATGCGATGTTTAGCTTGCAAACTGTTGGGCACAATTATGTGATATGCATGAAAATCAGTTTAACAGACTATATACATGAAGATTTGTTAACAGTCCATATACATGAGGATTAATTGATAGTCTATATACTTCATATGTATGCTTTGCCTCCATTACTCATCAGATTCTTGTCATTCTTAACAGTGTTAGATTAGGAGTTTCCCTCAAGATATGCTGATTTTTCTTTTTTAGTCAGATGCTTCAAGAGTGGAAGATTGAATAATCCTTATTACATTTTGTTTTGATTATGATCATTACTTCACTTTGTATTGTGTTTTTTAGTCTGTTGATGCTAGTCTATTTACTAAATGCAGCCTGCTTTTCTCACTGTTCTCTTCTCGTCTGAAGAGAGTTTGAAAGCTCAAGTGCATGATGCTGACTCTGAGCATCGGCCAAAACAAATTGAGGATGGATCGGTAGAGTCTAAGGAAGAAAGCTGTTTGTCTGCAATTATTCAGTATCTAAAAAGGACCGACAATTTATTTGAAAGGTATGCTTCCAGCATGTTTAATATACGAGTTTACTGGATAGTTGTTATTTTGAAAGATGAAGTATATTGATTTCATTGAGGTCCCTTTCAGGAAACCCAATATATTGTTATGCTTATTGAACTTGCTGAGTGCCTTGTGGCAAGGTGCACCTCAGTTCACAAAAATTCTGGAGCAGTTAAAATCCTCAGACCAGTTCTGGAAACAACTGACCAACCCCGTTGTGATGTTTTCTAACAATCAAGACAATTTATCTGATAAGACAACCGAAAAGAACATTCAAAACGGAGCATATAGATATCAAATCCTGTCAGCTGTATTGGATATACTTAATTATGAAATTTTCCTGCAAAAGAAATTGATGCACGCTGAGATAGTTGTCAACAGAATCTCCAAGTCTCCAATTAATGGGACAGAGAATAAGGTTGTTTCAGACCTGAAGGAGATAATATCGAGTTGGTGTAAGAATTCATTGTTGAGCGACCTTATCAAGGCATTTGTTTCTTGGGAACGTGATAACAACGGTCATGACCGTGCAAAGGTGTGCTATGCTTGTTCCTTTTTGACCTTATCGAGGCATTTGTCTGTAGAGTGTTTGTTCAATATTTCACTGAACATCTTTGATAACAAAAAATGTGGCATTTCTATTGTCGTTGCAGATTGCTGCTAGTTTATTTGCTGTTCATGCAATGGTGAAATTAAGAAATGGTGACAAGGGTAGCTTTTCTGTTTCACTAATCAAAAGGCTTGATACTTTGTCCCAAGAGGTATATGCTCTCTATTCTCGTATGAATAAGTTGCTTAATCACTTAATTTAGTCATCTTTCATTTTATGCTGGATGAACAATGGAATTCAACAAAATCACACTAGAAACAGAAAAGCGAAGAGGAAATCAGGAATCACTTAGAGGATGATTGGATATAAAAAATTTTGGTTTTGTTTGGATTTTTTTGTTTGGTTTGGTTAATTTTGAAAAAGCTGGTATGGTTAGTTGTTAGTGGGTATATTAAATAATATTTAAAATAAAATGATTAAAGTTGATTTGATGTGAAGTAGGTGAGAGAAAATTTGAAGTGATGGTTAGTTAAAATTATGTGAGTGGATGAATAGTGAATTAAGGTAAGGTGGTGTGTAAGAATGATTGATTGATATTATTTAATTATATTGATAATATTGATGATAGTGGGGTTGAGTTAAAGTTGAGTTAAAAAAATGGTTGAGTTAAAAATGTTTGGATTTTTTTGAAAAATTTTGTATCCAAACATGCTCTTACTTCTCCGCTTCAGACAGAAAAAAAGCTGGGATTTCAAATATGTTCTTTTGGTATTCTTCTCATATTAACTTCACCAACAATAATCACTCTTCGGGGAAAAAAATCTGCATTGAGATACCTTTTTGCTGCAGTGCATTTAAACATGAAAATTATTATACTTGCTTATCATTCTATTTGCGGTCAATGCCTTGGAGGATTGACTACTGAACTTCAATTTCGGTGTTCTCATGTGCAGTTGTGCAAGTTACCTGCCTTTTCAGAATTATTAAGTCAGTATGGAGAGCGTGGTTACAGGTTACGTTCTTATTCATTCATTTTCATTTTTGTAACTGTTACCAAAAATGAAATGGGGAGTACATATTTCTGTGTCTCTTCTAAACGAAGGTCATTTTCATTTTGAAACTGTTAACAAAATTGATGGAATGTAATGGCCTTATCCTCTATACATATACAGTTTGTTCTAATGATTTTGATCACCTGCCGGATTATTTACATCCTTTTACATGTAGTTATTTTTACTATCATAACAAGTACTTTTGTCAAAACATTTTCCAGAATTATTCAGTTTTCCATTGGTAATGTGCTTCCTATGCCAACTACTCTTGGTATATCTCTAACTATACCTCTCTCTTTTATCTTTGAATAAATTTCAGTGTTAGTCAAGAGTTGGAGAATTTAATACTTAGCGATTTGTTCTACCACATACAAGGAGAGCTTGAAGGCCGCCAAATTGACTACAGACCATTTAAAGAGCTGCTGCAGTATTTGTTAGATTCCAAGTTTTTGAATGCTTATAAATATAAACAAGATAGTGATCTTTCACCGAATATCAAGAGCATCTACCTGTATGACACTGTTCGTCTCAGAGCCGACCTGGGATTAGAGATGTGGGATCTGTTAGCGTGGAAAGAATCTAAAGAAATAGCTCAATCTATGCTTCATTGCTTGCAAGATTGGAACTCTAGAAGGATGCACTCAAATTCCAAGCTATCAGCTTTAAGAGGGCTAATTACTCTTTTCAATATGCATGGAGACAACGTGGGTTTCAGAGATATCTTTACATTAATATATCTAAAATGCTGCATAACTTGAACTTCTGCACTCATTTTACTGGTTTAATACTATAGAATCAACCATCATAATTGTATTTTCTTAATTCACAGATTTCTTGGTTTTTTTCCATGAACTTTTGCTATAATTTAACTTCCAGAATTCGGGTGCACTTTTTTTTGTTTTAATAAATATTGACCGTTGTTTCTCTTGTTTCTGTTAGGATTTGGATTATATTGTAATCCTCCTATACAAATTATGTATTAGAGCTTCTCACTGAAAATTTGTAATATTCCTTGTGCAGTTATCAGAAAATGAAGCTTCAGCTGGTATGAAGATGACAGAGCCAATAGTTGTATCATGCATTGGCCACATATGTTCTTCTCTTGGTCCCACACTAGAACTACTGACCCCTATTTCTGATGCTAGTGAAGATGTTCTTCATATACTTACAGCCCAAGCAGAATTATTACTGCTTCTCACAAAATCTCTGAGTGATAAAATTCCCCATTCCACTCTCATTCTCATCTTCAATACATCAGGCCATGCTCTCAAAGTGCTTTGCAGTTATCACACACACTCACTCACTGTTGGAACAGCCACGAAATTTTTCCTCATGTTAATTCTCATTTCCATCGAGTTGACATTCAAGGATTTCTGTTCGGGCAACGTAACATGGATCGAAACCCTCGAGAATTCTAGTGAGGTTTCTAATTCATGTCTGGGGATATTATTACCTGTCCTATGTAAATGCATTGAGCATCCTAACAGCCATTGCGCACTGTCCTTAACCGCGGTCGATTTAATTCTGAAAGGCTTCTCATCATCTTCCACCTGGGCCCCAGTCATGCAGAAACACCTACCTTTGCAGTATATTGTCCGGAAGCTTCACGAGAGAAATTCGTCCGAAACAGTCTCGATTATTTTGAAATTTCTCTTGAACCTCGCCCGCGTTCGACACTTTGCCGAGATGCTTTTAAATGCTGGGATCCTTTTGTCGATAAGAACGCTGCTGTCCGAAGTTTCCGAAAGCGACGGGCCGCCTTTCTCTCTCATCCGAGGTGAGAGAATTTTTTTCCCAGGCAAAGATGAAAAGTGTCGGCCCTTATTATGGGGACTGAGCCTTTCTCTAATCACAGCAATTATTCAATCTCTGGGGGATATAAATTCCACTGGAATTGTCGATCATGTGATGACTTACATATTGGTCGAGAATTCGTCCTTGGTTTCGTACTACCTTAGCGCGCCAGATTTCCCGAGCGAGCGTCGTGAAAGTAAAAGGGCCCGAGCCTCGAAATCGAATATCTCGTTGACCGAGCTCAAAGAGACACGACAAACTCTGGCTCTTATTTGTGTCCTTGCCAGATATTCAAATTCGTGGAGGAAACTCGTGCAGAATATGGAATCTGGGCTAAGAGAAAAAGGGATCCATTTATTGGCCTTCATAAGCCGGGCGACTCAGCGCCCGGGTGACTCACCCGGGAGAGATGCTCCTCTGCTGTGCCGCCCCACAGTAGGGGAAGAATTCGATTGGTACAAGGAGAAATCTTTTGTTAACAGCAGAAATGGTTGGTTTGCTCTGTCGGCTCTCGGGAGCAAGCTGGATAATAAATGTGGGCCCACATCGTCTAGACTGAGTTCTGCTCTCGTCTCGAGGGATCAGTTGAGAAATGGTGGGGATTCATGTGCTCAGACTTATCTGTCGGACTTGATTGCAATCGAGATGTACAGGATTGCTTTTCTTCTTTTGAAGTTTTTGTGCGTGCAAGCTGAGAGTGCCGCCAGGAAGGCCGAGGAGGTGGGTTTTGTCGACCACACGCATTTTCCTGAGCTGCCGATGCCTGATATCTTACATGGATTGCAGGTGAAAATCTCTGTTGCTTGCTTTTTTCTGCATTAATTCTTATATTCAGTTAAATTTTGGAAAGAAAAGGCAAAAATGCATTTTTAATGTTGTTGGTTTAATGCCATTGCAATTTCAATCCCAAAGTTCCAACTTTTTGCCTTTTTGGTCCTGTGTTTAATACTTTGCTGCAAATTTAGTCCTTTGAGGACTGAAATTGCAACAAAATTTTAAATTACACATTGCAATAAAATTTTAAGTTACAAGACTTAAATTGCTAATAAAAAATCCATCCCAAAGATATAAGTTGAGAATTTGTTGCAATTTCAATCCTCAAAGGGGAAATTGCAGCAAAATATTAAATTACAGGACCAAAAGGCGATATGATAGAATCTTGGGACTAAAGTTGATATGGCAAGGACTAAAAATGCAATTTGGCCGAAAGAAAAATAGTTCACCTTTCAAACTTAGAAATCTGTCCTTGATTGAATACAAATCCTCAGATGGGTGATTATAATTTGGATATCCTTGAGGGAGGTTTTTGTAATTTCGAAGTTGTGATTTATCCTTTATCAATTTATGTCATTTTCATTGTTTTGCACCTCGACGTTTCTTATATTTCTATGGTACGGATTTTACTGTAGAGCTTACTGATTCGACATCTTGGACTTTAATCTAACCTCCTCATAAAATTCTCTTNGGGATTGCCGTCATTACCGAACTATGTGAAGCCAACAAGACGAAACAGCTTGCACCTGAAGTACAAGAGGTCTGCCTCTTATTGCTGCAAATCACTGTCATGGCCTTGTACTTGGAGTTCTGTGTTATACAAGTTTGTGGCATAAGGCCTGTATTAGGCCATGTGGAGACATTCTCCAAGGAGATTCGGCTGCTTATCAGAGGTAGAAAAAAAAAGTTTCACATTTTGTTTTCTTCTATGTTGTTTTAATTGGTGTCGGGTTATAATTCAATTTTAGATTGAATCATGGATAGAGCTGTTGCACACCCCTAACTGAAGTTACTCAAAAGTAGGGAGTTTTATGTGATTTTGTATAGCTCGGCTCGTAAAGGACTGAGTTCGGTTCGTTATGATTCATCGAACTCAGCTCGATAGAAGCTTAGCTCGTTTTTTCCTCTAGTCATATAATTTACTTGACATTGAAACACTATATCTTGTATTTGCAGCAACTGAGGGCCATGCCTTCCTAAAAGAGCCGTTGAAAGACTTGAAGCAGATTGTTTATTTTGTGTATCCTGAGTTAGTACACCAACAAGAAGATTTGTTTTGAAGATAGGTGTATAAAATATTCACCACATTGTGTGGTAGGTGAAGATTTTAATTGTCTTTGTACCATTGTGAAAATATCTTATACTCATTTTTCACGCGTGATGTGATGCTTGTTATCCTAATTGTGTTTTGTTTGTTTCCTCTGCGTAATGATTGCTTTGTTTGCGACTTTTTAAGCCCCATTTTTACGAGTTTCGGGCTTTATGTACTTGCTATTGGGATTTTAAAAAATAATTGATGGTGCAAACTTTCTCCCCTTAACTAATGGATACCAAGTAAAATTAAATAGAGATTCAGAGCAAGAGAGATTAAAAATTAAGTAGAGGTTTTTTTATAATACAATGTAGTTTGATTTTTTAATATTGATAAACATGTTGAACTGTTTTCAAAACCCTTATAATTTTTATTGTTATATAACTAAAAGAATAATAAATGTTATTAAGAAATGTATATTAACAATTAATTTGTTCTAATTTTTTTTTCTATGTTTTGTAATGTTGTTTATATATTTATTTTTGCTTTGGAGTTAGATTTGATATTAGACATAAATATCTTTTTTTAAACTTGGTAAGTGTATATTTAATTTTGTTATTTTTTTTCTTAGTACACATTTTCTTCTTAGTTTAGGCAAGTAACAATCTTATCGTATTATAATTTTTTTTTCATATTTCTTTCTTAAATTACAATTTACAAATCACTTTCTGCACTATCTGTTTTTTTCATAAATTAGTCCATCAAAATTTTTAAATAAAAAACTTATTTTAACAATAACTTTTATCGAATATTTTGTAATTAAACACCCGTGTAGTATATGGGTATTGTACTAGTGTTTTCTTAATATAAAATTGGGTAAAAAATGATAATTTTTATTATTATATAAATGAATAATAACTTTCATTAAAAAACGTATGGTACTAATTTATTTTTATTTTCAATCGTATTAATATGTTTATCCAGAATATAATTTATTTTTCTTTTTAATCGTAATAATATGTTTATCCAGAATAAAACTAGGTAAAAAAAGCTATGTAATATGGTGAAATTTTGTATCCAAAAAGAGCTTTTTATTTAATAGGAAAAATACAAAAATGGTTCCAGAAGAAATGGTCCCATTAACGGTAATAAATCCACCTCACCCACCGGATAATGGAGAGGGCATATGCTCACGAGTCACGTGAACCCTACACTAACCACGGTTAGAACTAAACTAACCCAACTCAACCGCATCCACTAAATATCACTTGGAGATCTCTCCACGTGTCCCTCCCTTCAACGGTCACGATCGCTCTTCCCACGGATAAATTCCTCAGTCGGTCCTATATAAACCACTCCCCACCCAACACTAAACCCTAAGAGCGATTGACAAAAATCAGTGATCCCCAAACCAAAATAATAGAAAATCATTCCGAGAAAAAAGCTATGTCCAATCCCAGGGTTTTCTTCGACATGTCCATCGGCGGAGCCCCCGCCGGCCGTGTCGTGATGGAGCTTTTCGCCGACGTCGTCCCTAAGACCGCCGAGAACTTCCGCGCCCTTTGCACTGGCGAGAAGGGCGTCGGCAGATCCGGCAAGCCCCTCCACTACAAGGGGTCGACCTTCCACCGCGTGATCCCCAACTTCATGTGCCAGGGCGGCGACTTCACCGCCGGGAACGGCACCGGAGGCGAGTCGATCTACGGCGCCAAGTTCGCCGACGAGAACTTCGTGAAGAAGCACACCGGCCCGGGCATCCTGTCTATGGCGAACGCCGGTCCTGGGACCAACGGCTCGCAGTTCTTCATCTGCACTGCGAAGACCGAGTGGCTCGACGGAAAGCACGTGGTGTTCGGCCAGGTGGTCGAGGGGTACGACGTGATTAAGGCGGTGGAGAAGGTTGGATCTGGCAGCGGGAAGTGCTCGAAGCCGGTCGTGATTGCCGACTGCGGCCAGCTCTAGATCTGATCTGATGTGGTTTAGATCTGATGATGATTATCTATGGCTTTTAGTTTTAATTTTAATTATGCTTGTTTTTCAGTTTGAACTTTGCGATTTGCCCTGTGCCTAGGGTTTCGTACCTGCCATGAGAGGCTGTTCATGTGGAGCTTGTTTTTTTTTACCTAATTGTCGTTTCATCTGTGAACTGCCTTAATAATAATTATGTTAGATTTATCATGATTTTCTGTATTTAACTTGTTTTTCATTGTTCATGTTTAGCTTTAGGTGGATGTTGTAGATGTTTGCTTCAGAGTTTAGAGAGACAGATCCTGAAATCCAGATCTGGATGTTTTGAATAAATCCAAATACATTTGATTTTTTTTACTAAATATTTAGGTAATTTAAAAATTTCATATAATTAAATTAATTGATTTTAATAATTTGTGCATCCTAACATATTTTAATATTAAATTCTCTTTTTGGGTACTTAGAAAATTGATAAGACATCACTGTATGTGATAGTGAAGCACTCGGCCCCATCCTTTGGTCCTGGTGATTTTTGCCCAAACGGTCCTTGGGACTTGGTTTGCTTACATACAAATTATCCAAACAAATTTAATTATTTTGAACTAATTTTATTGTCCTCTATTTATTAATATAATTAATTTATAATATAATTAAATAGTATTAATTAAATCATTGTTACACATTACATTATTTTAATTTATTATTCATCAGCAACTAATTATCATTTCATATCATCTATTTTTTTATTTTAAATCAAATCAATTTTAATTATTTTATTTTAAATATTATTTTAATTTAATATAAACTTAAAATTTATCTAAATATAATAGCTGACAAGCAATTAATAATAATATGAGTTCATTTAATAAAAATAAATGTTCATTTAATAAAATATGTTCACCATTTAATCAAAATATGTAACTTTAGTTACACAATTTATTTTGACAGGCCCGATTTTGAAAAGTGACCATTTCTGTTATGTCCTAAAATATAAAATATTTTTATTTTTATTTTGATACTATATATGTTATGGTATTATACAAATACATATTTCACAACTAATTAAGAATGATTGTTTATATCTTTATTTTCTATTGCAGTCATACAATAATAAAAAAATATTTTTTTGAGATATTACAAAGATACGTCAAATATTTTAAAAAATCAAATATCAGTCACGAGTCGAAGGGGTTTAATTATAACGATTTATTATGATGAGAATTCTAACGATAAAAAAACCATGAGTGTTGTATATAAAAAAACGTTTAGTAGTCTCACTAATAACTGGCACATTTTCCAGATTTAACCAAATCAAATCAAAAGCTCTAATTAAAATAAAAAAAAAATCTTATATCCAAGTATCCTCAGAGAATTAAACGATATCTAAGTTGGGATTTTTGCTCATGTAGCTCTTATAAGTACTCGAACAATTTGGGATTTTTGCTTTTTGCTCGTATAGCTCTTATAAGTATTCAAAGAATATGAAGATGTAGGTTTGGATTTGAGATTTTTGCTCGTATAGCTATTTTAGAGTACTCGAACTATCTTAATGATTTTGTGGGATTGTTGTCAATAGGTTAATTAAGTATTTGAAGAAGGTTTGGATTTGGGATTTTTGCTCGAATAGCTATTTTAAAGTACTCGAACTATTTGAAAGGTAGGTTGGGATTTTTGTGGGATTGTTGTCGATAGGTTGGGATTTTTGTTCGAATAAATCACAAGATATCTATGTGGGATGTTAGGGGATATGAATTCAAGGTTATGATTTAATTTGATAAATTAGGTTGGTTAAAGTGAGTTATTTATAATAATTTGGTGAATATGAATGATTAAAGTTGATTGATGTAAAAATATGTGTGAGAGTATTAAAAATTAAAATTGATAAATAGTTAAAAATATGTTATATGATAAACAATAAATTAAAGTTGATGTAGTGTGTGTTATAATTGATTGATATTATTTAATTATACTTACAAAAAATAAGAGATTTGAGCTTAGTTGGATTCTAAGAGCATGTATGTTTACAAAAATTTTTGGTTTTATTTGATTTTTTTAGTTTAGTTTGGTTAATTTTGAAAATGGTGGTATGATTAATTGTTAGTGGGTATATCAAATAAAAACATCTCACGATTGATTTGATTAACTGTTTTACATAAGAATTTATATTCTATGAATAATATTATCCATTATTGCCTTAGACCTTCTCCAACCGAACACCAAAACCCATTTTTTGCAGCAAAATCGCCCCAACCGAACTGCATATCGGATCGCAAATTGCGTTGCCCCTCGTCTCTCTCCTCCGGTCGACGCAAATTTGCGTCCAAACGCAAAAGATGCGTTTCATCTTTTTTTATTTCAATTGAGTCCTTCACTTTTGTTTCTTATTTTTAATTGACCCTTATCTCTTTACAAAATAATAAATTCGACCTATTTTTAATTTTTGTGACTAAGAATGCTAAGATAATATGTATTGGAAAAATGAGTTTAAAACATACTAAAATTTTCTATTTTTTTTTTTTAATTTCATAGATTTAAAATAATAACATATTTTTTTATATTTGTTCACAATAGTAGTGTTAATATACATATTAATTTTATATTTTTTTCACAATAATAATGTAAAATACTAAAAAAACTTGATTTCATAAAAATTAAATAATACAATATTTATAAGAATAAATATTATGTTTATCATTTGATTGTATATGTTTCACAATAATAATATAAAACAATAAATATTGTGCGTCGTAATTTTTAATTTTATTTTTTGTATGGTAATTTTTAATTTCTCATCTTGTGCGTTGTAATTTTTAATTTTATCTTATGTGTTGTAATTTTTACTTTATCATATTGTGCGTTGTAATTTTTAATATTATATTGTGTGTTGTAATATTTAATTTTATTTTTAATGACTATTTATTTATCCGATTTCATTATGTATATGATTGTAACTTTATAATTAGTTTATTACATAAAGTCCAAATTGAATTAAAAATAATAGTGTGGTTTAATTTGTAAAGTTGTAAAATATGTGGGTAATATTAAAAAGTTGTAAAAGTTGATGTAAAAGAGAATATTCTTTTAGGTTGGAGAATGAGTTTTTCGGTTGGAGATGGATTATGACAAAATAGGATAATTATTGCAAAATGGGTTTAAGTATAGAGTATTAGGTTGGAGATGGCCTTATTGGTTAGACTATAGTTTAAGAGAGAAAATTAGAGCAAACAATTATTTTTAGTTCTTTGTATTTTGTAATGGAAAAAATAGCATAGAGAAAATATTAATTTCATTATATATTGTATCAAATTAATAATAACTGCGAGATGTATCTTTGTCTTTAATTTTTTTTTTTTTCGGAACGAATGAGATATTATATCAAACTTCAAAAGAGAACAAAGTTCTAATACAAACACAACCCACAACCGAAAAAGAAAACTGGGAGGACACGCTATAGAGCGGCCTAGAAATCACATAGACGTGATATGACCCCCACAGGGTAAACCACAAGAGCACTAAAAAACACAAAAGACAATACAAAGACCTCCATAGGATAATCTCCGAGTGTTGGGCCCCCACGGGGTAATAAAGTGACACCTGGGCGCACAGGGGCCAACGGCCCAAACCTAAAATACAAAAAACAAACAAACACAGACACAGACAACACAAGACACTAGAAGCAGATAACAAAATAACATAATAGCCCTTCCTCGGCAAAAGAACGGTTCCAGCCAGCGATGAACGATCGACTCTGGAAAGAAGATTCCAAGCCAGAGAAAACACTACCGAAACTGCACAAATGCCTATACAGTATATTTGTCTTTAATGAATAAATAAATAATGTAATAAAGCTAAAATCGGTACACATATTTTTATGTGGTGCACATGTTTTTCCTTAAAAAGTAAAATCTACTATACATGCAGCATGCCAGCTCTCTACCTCATATGCTATTCTTCATAACTACAATCCTACCCTTGACAAGTTAGATTATTCTTAGCCGTCGATCACAACTCACAAAATCCAATTGGGATTTGAGCTAGAATCTTGAAAAATGAAATATTAGCCCTAGGCTTGAAGCAAACGCAAAAATCCTCCCAAAAACCTACATACAGCGAGATAAAGAAGAGAAGAAAAAACAGCAAAACATGGCGGCAACCGTTAGCGCGTGGGCAAAGCCAGGCGCGTGGGCCCTGGACGCCGAGGAGAACGAGACGGAGCTCCTCAGCCAGCACCGGGAAGACGCAGCGGCCGCCATCAATGGCCGCTCGAACACCGGAGGGGCGGCGGATTTCCCGTCGCTCAGCGCCGCCGCCGCCGTCACCAAGACGAAGAAGAAGAAGAAGCCGCAGACCGTTTCCCTCCAGGAATTCGTCAAGCCGGAGGCGACCCAGCCGAAGGGCCTGACGCAGGACGAGCTCCTGGCCCTCCCGACCGGACCCCGCCAGCGCACCGCCGAGGAGCTCGATCGGAACAAGCTCGGCGGCGGATTCAGATCCTACGGCGTCGGGATCAGGGACGAGCAGCCTCGCCGCCAGGGAGGCTTCAATCGCGAGGCCGATCGGGAATTCGCTCCGTCTAGGGCTGACGAGACCGACAATTGGGCAACCGGTAAGAAGTCGTCTCCGGCTGGATTCGGAGATCGGAGGGATAGGGGAGAAAGAGGAGGCTTCTTCACTGATTCTCAATCACGCGCAGATGGGGTCGACAATTGGGCGTCCAAGAAGAGCTTCGTGCCCTCTGAGCCGAGAAGGCTTGAGAAAAGAGGTGGATTTGGCTTAGAATCGGGTAACAGCGGCTCTGAATCGGATAACTGGCTGAAAAGGAAGGAAGATGAAAGGCCAAGGCCCGGGAGCTCTTTCGATAGCCTGAGAGAGAGGAGAGGTGTTTCTGATGCAGATTCCGAGAGTTGGGGGAGGAAAAGGGACGAGTCAAGTGTTGGTGGTGGCCGGCCAAAACTGAATTTGCAGCCGAGGACATTGCCGGTGGGTGAAGGCCAAAAAGAAGAAGTGGCCGGAATGGTTAAGCCGAAGAGTAGCAATCCTTTTGGCGAGGCCCGGCCGAGAGAGGAGGTGTTGAAGGAGAAGGGCCAAGATTGGAAGGAGATTGAGGAGAAGCTTGAGTCTATGAAGGTGAAGGAAGTGGCTTCTGTGGGTCCAAAGAGAAGCTTTTGGAACGGTAATGGGAGGGAGAGACCCCGTGTGGAGGAACAGAATGCCTGGAGGAAATCAGAAGCTGATGGTTCTCGGCCACAGAGGTTTGTGATTTAGGTTTTGAATTTGGATTGATGATAATATGTTTGTGTATAATCTTGATTGTTTAGATTAGATTGTTTGGATTTTCCTCTGTATTGGTTGAGTTGGTTTTGGATTTGGTGACTGGTGAGTGTGTCTATGTTAATTGGTTTCGTCTGCTTAAAGCTGATACGGCTTGTTTTGACTTGCAATGAGTTGTGATTTGCTTGTTCAGTATAGTAAAGATGATTGTGCTCTTCTGGGATGTTGAATAATAACATGTGTTTGGTTAAATGGTGGGATTAATTGTTAATGGTAACCAAAAACGGATGCTTCCTAGTCCTGTGGTATCATCTTAATTTTTTATTTGAATGGTCGTTACACTGGATTTGTAACTCTTTGGCTGGCGGTAGAAAGATGATGCCGTGTTAGTATATTGTTGGATAGTTTTGTATGCATGTAAGGTGTTACATATAATTTTAGTTTTGTTTATAGAAGTCTTTGTGGCCCATCTGGTGTGGTTGTGATGCAAGTTTGTAGTCCTTCTCCATTCATGAGTTTGTTTGTTGTATCGACTATCGATTAAACTTGGCTTTGTCAGCTGTCTTTTGATTTTGTATATTTGCTAAAGTTGTGCTCTTAGTTACTTGATGTGGCATATCTATTGAACACTGACAGCCTTCTGTTAATGCTTGATATTCGGGGTTTTTCTGGTGGGTTTCTATTTAGCAATAGACAATTTTGGATGCTTTGAAAGAGCTCCTTGTATTAGTAACAAAATCATCCAACAAGTTATTTGTTTATTTATTTATTTTTCTGGTTTTGTGAATCTTTATATGGACATAATCATTGGGGCTACTTCATAATCAGTCGTACTCCCTTGTTCAAGAAATACGAGGGTTCATGAATGACTCATTCGATTTTCTCCAGTGATTATTTTTGTGAAGCTATTATTTTCTGAATCTACTATTTCTGCTTTTATGGGACTCGT